GACCACCCTAAAGTACACATATACATTGTGTGAGTGCGTGTGCGTGCGTGTGTGTGTGTGTGTGTGTGTGTGTGTGTGTGTGTGTGTGTGTGTGCTTGTGTGTTTACATCTGAGATAAAATTTGTTACAGTGAAAAAACACCTGTTGTGAAAACTTTCTTGCTGCAAACATGATTTCGTTGTAGATGAATTTCACTGTATATGTGCACTTGGCGCCAGCACAAGCTAGGCTAAAGTTTGATGACCAAGTTCGTGGTTATGCAATCGGATTTGCGGCCGCATTTTGGACACTTGAATGAAGAGAAGGGTGGAGCTGTGAACTGATCGCCCATCTGGTGGTGTGTTGTGTCCAATGGTGGCGGAAGATGCCGGTCCAACAGGGCAGACCCAAAATTATTGTGAGGGTTTACTGAGAACGTCTGGCAGAATCCTGTAAGAAAGAGTTTCAGGCTGAAGGAGTTCTATCGGGCCTTTTTGGCTTGTGGGAATCCAGAGGCAGCTGGTAGGTACCGCCTGACGAAGCTGAATGCAGCTTCAGCACTTGCTAAGGCAAAAACTCAAGCATGAGAGGAGTCTGGCGTGCCCAAGGAAGACGACTTCCGGTTTGGAGAAATTCTGATGTACCATGCGGTGTCTGCGGAGGGGGAAGCAGTACACAGTCAACATTGTATATAGTGGAGATGGGGTACTGCTTCCCTCAACATGAGACATTATGAATCGTGGAGAGAATACTTCGAAGACCTCTTCAATCCCACCGAAAAGCCTTTCCACGAGGAAGTCTGAGTTCTCTAAGGTGGGCTTTCCTATCTCTGAGGTTGAGGTCACTGAGGTGGTTACAAAGATGCTCAGTAGTAAGGCCACGGGGGTGGATGAGATCTGCTCAGACTTCCTAAAGGCTCTGGATGTTGTGGGGTTGTCCTGATTGACACACCTCTGCAACATCGCATGGACATTGGGGACAGTGCCTCTGGATTGGCAGACCGGTGTGGTGGTTCCCATTTTTAACCCCCGTGCAATGCAGGTAAACTTCATGTACACCTGACATGCGTTGTGTTGTAAAAACGAATGCATGCCACAGGTTTAAAACCCATGCATGGCATGTATTTGTTTTTGCAACACAACGCATGTCAGGTGTTCATGAAGTGTACCTGCATTGCAATGGGGTTAAGAAGGGTGACTGGAGGTATAATACTCCTCAGCCGCCCTTGTAAATTCTATTCAGCGAGGCTGGAGAGGAGGGTTAGACGGGAGGTCCAATCTCAGATTCAGGACGAGAAGTGTGGTTTCCGTGCGGGTCGTGGAACAATTGACCAGCTCTTCACCCTCAGCAAGGGTACTCAGGGGTGCATGGGAGTTTCTCCAACCAGTCCGTGACTTGGCGAAGGCATTTGACCGTATACCCTGGGGTATCTTGTGGAAGATGCTAGGAATATGGGGTATTGGACGCCGTAATAATGGCTGTCTGATTCCTGTACTACCTGCGTCAGAGTTTGGTCCACATTGTTGGCATTAAGTCGGATTTGTTTCAAGTGAGGGTTTGACTCTGCCACGGTTGCCCTTTGTCACCAATTCTGTTCATAAACTTTATGGATAAAATTATTAGGCTCAGCCAAGGCATTGAGGGTGTCTGACATCTCTGCTTTTTGCAGATGATGTGGTACTGTTGGCTTCTTCAAGCCATGATCTTCAACTCTCACTGTAGCAGTTTGTGGCTGATTGTGAAGCGGGAGGAATGAAAATCAGCACCTCCAAATCTGAGACCATGATCCTCAGTTGGAAAAGGGTGGAGCTGCTTCTCCTGGTCGGGGAAGAGATCCTGCCCCAAGTGAAGGAGTTCATGTATCCTGTGGGGTTATTCACAAGTGAGAGCATTATGGAGCGGGAGATCACCAGTGGGATCAGTGCAGTGTAATGCAGACTCTGTATTGGCCGATCATGAGGAAGGAGTTGATCCTAAAGGCGAAGCTCTTGATTTACCAGTTGATCTACATTCCTATCCTCATATATGGTCACAAGCGGGGGTTCGTGACTGAAAGAATGAGATCCCAGACACAAGTGGCCAAAATGAGTTTTCTTCGCAGGATGTCCATGCTCCCTTAGAGATAAAGTGAAAAGCTGGGTCATCCGGTTGGGGCTCAGAGTCTAGCCGCTTCCCCTCCGCATTGAGAGGAGCCAGATAAGGTGGCTCGGGCATCTTATTTGGATGCCTCACTGGTGAGGTTTTCTGGGCGTGTCCCACTGAGAGGAGACCCCAAGGACAACCTTTGATATGCAGGAGAGATTATGCCTCCTGGCTCACTTGGGAACACCTCGGGATCCCCCAGGTCGAGCTGGAGGAAGTGGCTAGGGAGAGTGAAGTCTGGGATTCCCTCCATAAGCTGCTGCCCCCGCGACCTGACCTCGGATAAGCGGATGACAATGATGATGAAATGAAGAATAGAAGAATAGTTGGTCAGCAAAATCAGGATTCATACCATGCATGTGTACCACCTCGGGTCTATTCACTCCAGTTTTCACTAGGTTTTATGGATAAGTAAATAGACAGGGGAGGGTGATATTACCACCAACAAAGTGTCTGTAATAAGCTGTCAAAAATAAGTGCAAACAATAAATGACAAAAAGTACCAATGACTGGCCAGTTGACTTTATGACCTCGTCTTCTTAGAACCTCAGCCACCTCTTGGTTGATTCCCTCCTCCAAATTCACAGACCATTGATTTTCTATGCAGAGAAACAACCAATGTATGAATGGGTATGCGCGAATGAAGAAAAGACAGACGGTGTTCCAAACATTCTAATACTTCTCAAGTTACAGTAGTATTACCATGAAATACAGTGTACACACACTATTTGTGGGTTATAGGAACCAGGCAGGCCTGCGAATCGCTAAAATCTGCTTATAACTCACACACATTGAAATGCATTGGGGGAAACAAATATACACGTATTTTTTTTAACCCCAAAAATTCTTCCATGTACACTGACAAGCATTCAATATGCACTAGCCACAAAAAATGGGGGAAATGGGAAATCAGAAAAAAAAAAAAATTTCATGAGTTTGCACGGGACTACTGTAGTGTGTGGACCAAGGTGTTAACAAAAACGAAATAACTAAAACAAAAATTGAAAAAAACATTTCGTTAAGATATTTTATTTAAAAACAAAAATGCATTTAAAAAAGAAAAACAAACTGAAATATCTTAAAATTATAAAACTAAAACTAACTATAATAATAGTAAATATGTTTCCTTTTCATCTTTGACAATGAATATCATAGGAGTTTTTCTTGTACTTGACAAACGTGTGTGTGTGTGTGTGTGTGTGTGTGTGTGTGTGTGTGTGTGTGTGTGTATGGGTGTGGGTGTGTAAGTGTGTATCATATTTTGCTTGCACATGTTGACAACCTTGTGTGTTTCATGCATATTGAAGTGCATGTGTTTGTGTGCCTCCCTCATTTAAGGAGAGACAATGTTGTACATTCCACAGGGGAACACAATCATTACCGAAGCAGGAACCCAAGCCTGGAGGCCACGGCTCTGCATGTTGTGTGAATAGATCCAGCTACTTTCTCACTGAGACGTGCTGTGAACACGCAGTCCACTATTACCAATGGCCTGCAGGTCAAACCTAACTGTCACCTCATTTCATCTGAGGGTAAACACTTAGGAATGAGAAAAACAAAGTTAACCAGCCATGGCAGTCTGGCAAGTGATGAATCGATCTTTGCTCCACGCACAAACCGCATCAGCTCATCAATTATACTTGAATTAAGCACAGAAAAGGTTGAGTGGGTTCCTTCTGTGAGGTGACATTTACAGTAACTCCAGACAGTTTAGCTCAAAAAGAAGTTTTCCAACGGGCCTCTGAGGGCCAAATCAGCTCAGAAGTTCTCTGCTGCCCTCTATTGGTCATTACAAGTCACCACTCATTCCCCACGCTTGGCAGGCAGGTACGAACATATGGCAACTATCTATCTCACCAAATAACAGGTGTATGAGAGATTGCGCTTTTTTTACCATCGTGCCCATTCTCTTTTGTCAATTTCCCTACTGGCATAAAGCAGACAAAGTATAGCTGAGTTAATTTCCCCTGTTGCACCCGTGAGCATATCCCACAGGAAACTGTTGTTCCATCCTAATAGATGGCAATCAGAGGTGATGCCAGCTGTCACCTAATGGTTGATGTATTTGTTCATCACACTCTTAGCTTTCCATGTGCAGATGTGATGTATCCGTACATACTGTACGAAGGACTGTTGCAGTCAAGTCTTAGGCCACCACTGGCCGAGACGATCCATCACGTAACTGCAGGGTGTAGGATGCTGGCAGGGAAAGCCTACATGGAACGCCATAACCAAGTGGCTGGCATCATCTACCGAAACATCTGTGCGGAGTATGGACTGGAAATCCCAAGGTCAAAATGGGAAACATCTCCGAAGATGGTGGAGAATGACCAAGCGAAGATCCTGTGGGACTTCCAGATCCAGACTGACAAGATGGCAATGGCGAATCAACCGGATATCGTGATCATAGATAAAGGGCAGAGGAAAGCCGTTGTAGTGGATGTAGCGGTCCCAAGTGATGGAAACATCAGAAAGAAGGAACACGAGAAACTCGAGAAATACCAAGGGCTCAGAGAGGAGCTGGAGAGAGCCTGGAAGGTAAAGGTGACAGTCGTGCCTGTGGTGGTCGGAGCACTTGGGGCAGTGACCCCCCAAACTAGATGAGTGGTTGCAACAGATCCCAGGAACAACATCGGACATCTCAGTCCAGAAATGTGCAGTGCTGGGAACAGCAAGGATACAGCGCAGAACCCTCAAGCTTCCTGGCCTCTGGTAGAGGACCCGAGATGAATGGGGGAGGGACACCACCCGAGGGGGTAGACGAGGATTTTTTTTTTTTTTATATTTAAAAAAAAAAAAAAAAAAAATCCTATATATCGCAATATCATTATCGGCCCCGGTATCGATATCGCGATATCATTATCGGCCCCGGTATCGATATCGCGATATCGATATCGCGATATCCATATCGATATCGCGATATCGATATCGCGATATCCATATCGATATCGCGATATCAATATCGCGATATATACACCGCGGTATCGATATGGATATCCCGGTATCAATATCGCGGTATCGATATCCATATCAATACCAAGGTCGATATAGATATCGCCATATCGATACCGGGGCCGATATCGATACCGGGGTCGATATAGATATCGCCATATCGATACAACACTAGTGACACTGTTAGACCGCAAAAAAAACGAAATCCGCCGTGCGTGCCATCCCATGCCTACTTCGCGCACGGGTGCAACGCCCGGTGTCGCTCCACGACCTGCAGAAGGTGCTGTCGCTGTTCCTCGTCGCGCGTAATGGCGCCGCAGAACGCGCTGATGAGGGCGACGCCCCTCTCCGCAAAGTCGTTCACCACCCGTAGGTGACGAGCGCGCCGACGAGCCGTGGTGAGCTTCGGGCTGCCCAACAAGCCACACTTCGGTGGCTGAGCGTGAGCGTCTTGCAGTTGCAGCGGCCATGCTGAACGCAGGCACAGCCACGACTAACGCAATACGCAACGCTTCTCCTGGCCCAGCAGGAACTGCCGATCCTCATGCTCTTTTTTTTTTTTTTTCGATGTCGAAAAGCGTCCTCAGCTCAGCGTCCAGTAAGAATTCCGGCGATTCTCGACTTCAATTGAAAGATATTAGCTCGCCAGTAGGTGACCGTTGTGTGTTAGGCGTGCGTTTGAGTTTGTCTCCGGCTGCTGAGAGCAGCGATGGAAGGGTTAGTTCGTCAGGAGGTGATCGTTCGGGTAACATTCAGCCCAGCCAGTGTCACGCATGGCAAAATGCACGGTTAAAATACACATGTTCACCCTATTGAGACCAGTTGTTATGGTGGAAACTTTGGCCGCTTTGCGGGACGGGAAAATATCATCAGATCGGAATGAAATTTTGCACAGAACCTTGTACCATAGTATCGACAAGAATTCCGACCCGGCCCAACGAATCCGACAAACTTCTTTTTTTGCCATGAAAATGTGGACCACCCTAATATATATAAAACTAACTGATTTAAAAAATACAACATGTCAAAACAAAATATAAACTACCTATAATGAAAAATCCAAAACTATTATGACCTGGTGGGGACTGGCAGTTCACCAGGAAAGGTGAATAACCTTGTACTATTTTTTTGTGGAGGTGAGGTGAGACAACTTAATCTCTCTCACACGCTTGTTGGTATCCTCTTTACTTCAGCGAAGATCTTTTGAATGCGATGGCAAAATTGGATTCATCCATGCATCCATTTTCTATATCCCGCTTATCCGTACAGAAAATAGGAATCTGGAGCCTATTTCAGTTGAGTGCAGGCAAGAGGTGGGGTGCGCACCTTGGCCTGGTCCCTAGTGAATAACAAAACACATACAGGATCGAAAAACAATGACTGAGACTCCCATTTACACCTAGCAGGTATTTAGGAACCACCGTGCTGTCTCTTTGTGATTTCCAGATTCTTTTATAATCACGCTATTTCTTAACATGTGACTATTTAACCCAAGCTAAGCTATTGTCGTCATATTTACCTTTGAGGTCATATTCTACAAAAATTCTCGGTGAATCGAGTGCTTGTTGTGGATTCATCCCAAACTCCAACATGTTAAGCAACACCTAAACACATACAAAAAAACAATACGTGGGTTAGACGTTTTGTTATATTGTCCATTTCCACAAAACTGAAGCATTTTGCTGGTAAGATTTGTTACATCCGCACACGAAACAGCTGGAGCACAAAAAAATTGGATTCACAAAGCGTACAATTGTCAATGAGGCTTTGCTCAATGAAATGTCTAATTGCTGTCCTGTTGTACTCCTCAAGTCCACAAATGCTTTCATCAGCATCTTTGACCACAAAGGTTTTTGTACATCTGATCTCAGCGAGGAATCACTCATTGTGAATTGGGTATTTGTTACTCCATACCTGAATGTGTCCTTGTGGTTGCATCAAAGCGCCCATTACTCCCAAGGAGGCGAGGAGTTGTGGCTTTTGGGATTCAGATGCGCAGTCAGTGAGAAGTGCGGGTATTATGGTGTGGTAGGGCCGCTTCCCCCCGGCAACGCAGTTAACACTGTTCTGATGAAGAGAGAAGCTGGCCCCACGATTCTGTCAGAATTGGGAAAAGATTTCCCAAAAGTATTAACCTGACCAGTAATCAATACTTGATCATCAATCCAAGTTGATTATATGGACAAAAGTATGAGGACAAACTACAACAATCACTAACAAAGGAAAATAAGAAATGTGTCTTGAGCAGCATTCAATGTTCTGACTTTATATTTTACCTGACTGTGTAAAGATTATGAGAATTGCTGTCCCGTCATACAGAAGAACATTTATGAGATCAAGAGTGAAGGTCATTCGCTCAAGTTCATAGTAAATTCATATGCAACAGGTAATCTGATTACTGTAAATTCTGGTCTGTTGAATGCGCTGGTATATAGGATGCACCCAATTGTTTATTTTGTTATTTTAAAAAGGCTCAATTTAAAAAAAAAAAAAAAACACCCTCTGGTTTGCTCACCTTAGCCTGAAGGTGGCAATTATGTCACACAACGCTTTATAAGCTTTATGCTGTGCTTGTTGGACATTCTATTTGTATGTGTTACAAACAGTTTTATGCTTCTTTTATGGCTTAAAAAGTGACGTCCATTTGTGTTAGCCTGTCTACGGCATTTCCCCATTCTCTGTTCGGTTAAGCTAACAGAGTTATGTCAGGCTAAAAATATCTCCTGTGATGCTTTGTTGAAAGAAGTTTGAATGAACATTTATGACAAATAAACTGAAGCAAGAACCCTTTCCCTCTCATTTGGACTGTTAGATGTCAAACTAAATATTGGGCAGAATGCATACAATTTACAAGAGAAAATAAACTGCAACTTTTATGTCGAAAATGAGTGGAAACAGCACAAGGTAAAAGAGGCAAAAAAAAAATACAGCAGGTTGGCATGAGAAAAATATGCAAAACTAAGTCAGTTTAGACATATGCAGGTTGTATGTTTCAGCAGATATGAATGAATACAGATTCCGAGTGCTTCACTGTGTGCAAATTTAAAAAACATGAGTTAACACTTGAACATTTAGCATAACAATTTAAAAAAAATCCTGAATTGTAAACATGATTTTTGTGCATGGAGCTAAGAAAAGAAGAGACTGTGACAATCCTAGCATCAAGAAAATATGCATAGGTAGGTAGGAAGGTAGGTGGGTGGGTAGGTAATGCATACATAAGTATACTGGCTTCAGTAGTTGAATTATATTACTCGCTCACACGTGACACACAAAAAGAAACATCAACAGACAGTTTTGTGCTGCATCGTCAGACCTGAAGAGAGAAACCGCAGTCCTTTGGGACAAGACCAGTCCCGAAGCCCATAAATGTGCTGTTGATGAAAGAACAGGCATTACCCTGACAGTCAACCACACAGAAATAGACTGTGTCACTTTCTGTCATCAGGGCAGGCTCTACATCTTGCATGACCCTAGGGCACAAACAATAAATATTACTCTTTGAATAAAGTTATGTTATTTGTTTTGTTTTGACTTTTGCCTGATTGTTTTTTTTTTTTTTTGCAGTGTTTTCCCGACATCAATCAAAATGCACACAAATAATCTCCTCACTCAGACATGCCCAAATGCCAATGTTAGTCAACCTTAATGAGCCAAAGCGCATATTTAACATGAGAAAACTCTCATGGATAACCGGCAGACAAATATGTTACAAAAAGTACGTAATGAAATAATGCAGAGCGCTTCTCAGTGTACTCACGAATGTATTCACTCACTGTGAAATCGGGGCTTGTGTAACAGGGCCAGTAAAACGCTTAACTTAAAATATTTACTGTACTGCATTATAATAACACAAAATCTGTGAAATGATAAATACCTGACGTTTTGTTTTACTATATCCTCCATTATCTAAAGGTGGACCCAACATTTTTAAATGTTCCCCTACTTCAATAATTAACGTGGCCCCTGCCTCTTTGAAATTGTGCTCATGCCTTTGACCCTCCCCTTTTTCTCTTGATGTCCATGGGAATGTAAGCATCTTTAGAGCTGGAGACACTTTTTATTTCAATTAGAAGTAGAAATATTGCTGTGCCATATAATGTGTGTAGGTGCACGCTGTCACACCATAATTGACGGGGGGTGGGGGGGGGTACTGTTGTTAATATCAGTTTTTGTGATTTAGACGATGTGAATGTGACTCGGAATGGGTGTCTGTCTATAAATATGCACTGCCAATGACTGGCAACCATTTCAGAGCATAGTCTGCCAATCGCCTGAAGTCAGATGGGAGTTCAAAACTTTAATAGGGTCATTGTATAAATCTACATTACAATTGCGGCACTGAAATCCAAAGTCTTCTGAACTAAGCAAATGCGACCTTGCCAAAATACACACACAGCAGACATGGCATTTAAAAAAAAAAAACGGAGAGACTGCAAGGCGGTTGGGTCAAAGCATGGAGCCAAGGCAAACATCTACACTCCAATCGAAAGTCAACAGAGTGTGACAGGCTCTCACTGGTACGAACTAAAGCGTGCGCACACACACACACACACACACACACACACACACACACACACACACACACACACGCACATGCCCACGCACACGCACACACACACGCACACACACACAATCACAAACATGTACCTGTCCATGTTGATGAGCTGGGCTCGCTGGCTGCTGCACTTTTTTTCCAATAGGCTTTGCAGTGGAATGGTCACATGGTCTGGGTCACCCACGTAGCTTTTAGCATCTGTTTGGGCTAAGCGAATAGCCTCCACCAGAATATGGATGTAGTCTGCACTATTATGACCTAAAGCTTTAAATAAACATGGGGACTTCAGTTCTGTAGTTTCAATCCACTCTGGTATGAACAGCCCATATCAAGTCATTTTCCATGTGCAGATATTCGTCACACTGGTAGATGTGTGGCTAATTGCTTTTTGTGGTATCACTTTCAGTATTATGTTCAGTAAATTCGCTCCGCTGGTTGCTCAAATTCAAAACTATCCAAAATAGGAAGCTTACAACAGATGAACTTGTTTAATGACGCAACTGGTGGGTGGACCGGCACTCTGATGTTGTGAAGTGAAATTTAACACATCTACATCATCCTCCCAGGCTCCCAGTGTAATGGTTACCTTTGAGAGGGAAGTTCTCCAGGATGTTGAGAAGCAGCAGGGCAGCCAACCCTTGACTATTAGGAGGAGACTCCCATAGGCGCACACCCTGAGCACACAATGGAGTCATTTACTCTACTGACCATGTTTGTCAAACAGAAATCCAATAAGCAAATGAAAGTTCAAAGACACCTTGTACTTTGTGCTGATGGGACTGACCACATCACTGTCATGGCTGCTGAGGTCATCCAAGGTCATGACTCCTCCATGTTGGACAATGATGTCAATGATGGCTTGGGCAACTCTGCCCTGGTAGAAAGCTGCCTTTCCATGCTCTCCCAATTCCTATTTGTGTAGTGGGCCAAATATGTGTCTAATAATCATAAAATTGGGTGCAACATTCAACATTATGTGTGGTAATTGCAAGGCAAAATAATGAGCATGAGAAAAGGGAGCTAAACGATTGCATAGACAAGAAGAGCAGCTTGGATCAAGTTCATGCACCAGAAGTAATGAGTTGTCTTAAATGTCAGAGAAAAGGACAACATCTATGGTGCTACTAGAAATTGTGGAAGAAATTGCAACAAGGACAGATAAAAAATAATTTACTGATGGTGTTTTCATAGACCAGTAGTGTGGTAATTGCAAGGCAAAATAATGAGCATGAGAAAAGGGAGCTAAACGATTGCATAGACAAGAAGAGCAGCTTGGATCAAGTTCATGCACCAGAAGTAATGAGTTGTCTTAAATGTCAGAGAAAAGGACAACATCTATGGTGCTACTAGAAATTGTGGAAGAAATTGCAACAAGGACAGATAAAAAATAATTTACTGATGGTGTTTTCATAGACCAGTGTTGTGTCCAAGGACCGGCAACCCGAGGCCAAGGCCGAGGCCAAGGACTTGGAATATTTTCCGAGGCAAGGCCAAGGAAGGCCAAGGACTTGCTTCCGAGGCCAAGGCCAAGGACTGATTTTGAAACTGAGGCCTAGCCAAGGACATGTATAAAACAATGCTGTCATACCACTTGGCAGGTCCTCATGATTTGCAACACCCCTCCATCATAACCCTTTGCACTCCCTAACGCTTGAATGAAGTGTTTTTATTCAAAGAGTAGAACAGTCAGGGTACGTGTTATTTATACTGAGAAAAAGAAATAAAATCACATGATATACATTTATGAATTAATGTTTTAGTGCAGTAGTTTCTTAATATGAAGTAAATCAACACTCAACAGGCATGACATGGCACGGAACACAAGTTGAGAAATGACTTTGCATAGAAGTCAATCACTGACTGCAGAAAAAGCGGTAATCTCGCAGTGATCATTTTACAGTTTACCTGCAGCGAGTCCCAGGGACTCACTGATCAGAAAAGTATGAATCCCATTATGCATTGAGAGAGTCCCAAATTTCAAATTCCGAAATGGTCTACTTATTCAATTGAATATGATAATAACACAAACAACATATACATACAATTATAAACAAATGC